CTGAAAAAATAAGATCAGAAATATTAATTACAAGAAGTAAACATGTGTTAGCGTCTACGTACTGTACTAATTGTATAAAATACAATACTTACTCAGGCCTAATTGCTCTCCACTTCGTCTCGAACGCTTTCCACTTGGTGTAGTCCACTTCCCTAAATAAATTGGGGTGCGTTCCGTCGACGAACCTCCTTCTCTTCGCCTCCGCGGTAAAGGGAGAAACGATGTACTGTGATGGGACCCTCGGCCTCTTGCCGACCACTAACGTCGACACGTCAACCGCATGCATCCTTTCTTCCTCCGTCTCGGGGATTTCCATATCCCCGGCCATCGAGACCACCCCTTGCCAGTCACCGAGACCACTTCCTCCAACACAAAAACTACGTCCGGCGAGTCTGGCGTCTTCTCGGGTACCACCTCCACCTCCGGTACCCTTTCCATTTCCTCCTCTGACACCCTCACCACCTTTTCCTTCGGCACCCTCACCACCTTCTCCTCTTGTACCCTCTCCACCTCCACTACCCCCTCCTCCTTCGGTACCCTCTCCACCTTCAATACATCCTCCACCTCTGGCACCCTCACCACCTCCTCCTCCGGTACCACCTCCGCATCCCTAGGTATCCCTACACGGATACTCCTCCTCCTCAGGTATCCCCTACACGGGTACCCACTCTGCCTCGGATACCCCCTTCTGCTCCTCCATCTCCATCTCCGGCGAGCCATTTAAAAATGAATCGAATGCATCAACCGATGGCCATGACGAGTCAACATACCCCATCTAACCCCCTCGTCCCTGATAACCACGGCCTCTCCATATTGATAGCCGCCAGTGCCTCCGCCATCTCCTCTATCTCGATAGCTGCCAGTCCCTCCGCCATCCCCTCCATCCTGATAGCCGCCTGTCCCATGCAGGCCTGCTACGTCGCCTTGTATCGCTGCAACCTCAGCATGAAGGTCTCCTAACCCGGCTCGTAGCATCTCGACATCATCTCATAACTCTGCCATGTCTCTTCTCATCTCCGTCAGGAGTTCGGACAAATCAACCGTCGAAGCACGATGACTAGGTGCAGGAGGTGATACTGGACGGCTCTCCTGAAAAAAGAAATATTACAAATGAATAACTTAATCAAAAAAATAAAACAAAAATCGACAAATTATTTTTAAGTAACATAATCTATCTCGATCCACGCGTGACTCGGACATCTAAACGTTTGGCGCAGCCAGACGTGATCTCCTCGGCGGAGGTAATACTGGCTACCCTCCTGAAAAAATAAATATTACAAGTGAAGCACTTAATTACAATATCAATGCGATATTCAACAAATTATATTCAAGTAACATACCCTATCTCGATTCACGCAGGACTCAAGCATCGGATCCTCATGCTCAGTCGGAACAGACAGTTTACGAATATAAATCTGACTCTCCTCCTCGATCAACGGTGCCAACTCAGTGAGAACTTCAAACTGACATTTTGACATTTCATAGTTAATGACCATGTATTGTGATTGTAAAAGGACATAAAATATAAATTGCAAATGTATAATACGTACCTCAAAATCGTCTAGGAGAGTCGATAATTGTCTGACAAGTGACTTGTCTTGTGCTCGCCAGTGATGAATCCGAGGGCAGCATGTCTCTTCTCTCGTCGTATACCGACTGACTAAGATTGAGACAATCTCGTAGACCCATGTTTGCAGTAATTACAATTATTATATATAGAATTTAATAAAAAAAGCATAGATAATTCGTTAACTTAAACATATACTTGCAGCATCAACGGCAGTCCATATACATCGTACTTACGCTCGGGCTTATCCCCTTTAGGCATCAAAAATCCCTCCTAAATACACGTAATGTATTTACAAAACATCTCTGTCCTCATGGATAGTTGTTGAAGGTATCAATGTCATCAACAACCTCTAAATGGAAAAGTTATCGATGTCTTCTTGTGGTGACACTGGAGTACGCTCTCGATGATAAGCACCAAGCCCAACTTCAGCCTATCAGACATTTGATCGCATCCCCTCAATGCATCTCTCAATTGTGCTAGAGTAAATGTTGTCTATCAACGAAAATATTCATTCAATAGCCTCCTGTTCTTAGGAACATGGGCCCTCGCCGCTTCTTCGTCTGTACATCGCAATCCAGTGACGAGGGGCAAACTCAAATATGGAGAATGTGGATATCTTGCCCCCAAGATCAAAATGTAGGACAACTCCATCAACTGGCTTTAGCAACCTAGACCACTATACGTCGTGCAACGAATACAATGGCTATAAGCACAATCGACGTAATATGTCTGCGTGCTCATCATCTAGCAAATCTAGTACCGTAGAGAAGCTAGTAAAGTTACAATTTAGCTTTACCGAACTGTAACTTTACCAGGGATCTGTTTGACAGCGTCGTCCGGATAATATTCTATCCTACAAAATTTCAAATAGTAGAACCTTGTGCACTAGATAATTGATAAACCAAAATATTAGAAAAATAAACTAACAAACTGCTACTATATGAAATAATCAACAGATAACAGAATAAAGGAAATGAACATAAATTAATATTTTACGTATACTTAATTTGCTAATATGATTAATATTTTAATTTTCTAATTTAATTGCTAAATTTAATTATTTTATTAATGTTTAAATATTTATTTCAATTCTTTATGTATATTTCTTATTTAATATTTAATTATTTTACTAACACTTATCTTGATCGTTTATTTTAATAGTTTAATTATTTATTTTAATTGTTATTGTATATTACTTATAATATTTCATTATTTATTTTAAATATTTTACTATTACTTAACATAAAATAAGTAATTAAACTAAATTAGTAAATAATAAATATTTTGATAAATACTAAAACATTTATATTAATACTTAATTTAATTGTTTATTTTTATGTTTAAATACTTATTTTAATACTTTAAATATATTACTTATTTAATATTTAATCATTTATTTTAATTATTTTACTAGTACTTAATTTGATTAGTATTTTAATTTTCTAATTTAATTATTTTATTAATGTTTAAATATTTATTTCAATTCTTTATGTATATTACTTATTTAATATTTAATTATTTGTTTTACTTATTTTACTAACACTTATTTTGATTGTTTATTTTAATATTTCAATTACTTATTTTAGTTATTTTATTAATACTTAATTTAATTGTTTATTTTTATGTTTAAATACTTATTTTAATTCTTTATGTATATTACTTATTTAATATTTAATCATTTATTTTAATTATTTTACTAATAATTAATTTGATTAATATTTTAATTTCCTAATTTAATTGCTTATTTTAATTATTTTATTAATGTTTAAATATTCATTTAAATTCTTCATGTATATTACTTATTTAATATTTAATATTTAATTATTTTACTAACACTTATTTTGATAGTTTATTTTAATATTTTATTTACTTATTTTTGTTATTTTATTAATACTTAATTTAATTGTTTATTTTTATGTTTAAATTCTTATTTTAATTCTTTATGTATATTACTTATTTAATATTTAATCATTTTTTTAATTATTTTACTCGCACTTAATTTGATTAATATTTTCATTTCCTAATTTAATTGCTTAATTTAATTTTTTTAATAATGTTTAAATATATATTTTTTAAATTCTTTATGTATATTATTACTTATTGGATATTTAATTATTTATTTTACTAACACTTATTTTGATCATTTATTTTGATATTTTAATTATTTTATTAATACTTAATTTAATTTTTTATTTTTATGTTTAAATACTTATTTTAATTCTTTATGTATATTACTTATTTAATATTTAATAATTTATTTTAATTATTTTACTAGTACTTAATTTGATTAATGTTTTCATTTCCTAATTTAATTGCTTAATTTAATTTCTTTATTAATGTTTAAATATTAATTTAAATTCTTTATGTGTACTATTACTTATTGAGTATTTAATTATTTATTTTAGTTATTTTACTAACACTTATTTTGATTGTTTATTTTAATATTTTAATTACTTATTTTAATTATTTTATTAATGCATAATTTAATTGTTTATTTTTATGTTTAAATACTTATTTTAATTATTTTATTAATACTTAATTTAATTTTTTATTTTTTTGATTAAATACTTATTTTAATATTTTAATTGTTTATTTTAAATATTTTACTATTATGGAACATAAAATAAGTAATTAAACTAAATTAGGAAATAATTAATAATTTGATAAATAATTAAACATTTATATCAAGCATTTTGAATAAATAATTTTAAATACATAATATACATTAAAATTAAACAATTCAAATAAATAATTAAATATTAGACAACAAAATATAAGCAGTTAAAATAAATAATTAAGTATTCAAATAAACAATTAACTTCAATAATTAAAGGAAGTAAATAAATATGCTAAATAAACAATATTATGTAATTAAAAAATAAATTACAAAGTCTGCCCGCCAAGACTGCCTAGATAATGGGTCGTCTGGGCCTGCGAATTTGCAGGCTGCTTGGAAATTCCATTTTTGACGATCTTCACCATTTTTGGCACCCCTAGCATTAAAACCTTCTCCAAATTACAACTCACAATCATAAACACAAGGATTTCTCAACAAATATACATAGAATCATTTTTTTTTCAAAAATCAACATAAAAACGCTTTTTACTTAATCAAAAGCTTACCTTCTTCAAAGAGATATGGTCAACTGGGTCGTCGGTGTTGCTACAGTAACTTGGACCTTTCTTCTTTGCTCTCCTCTCTTTTTTTTTGAAATGGTAATGGGATTTTTGCCTTTTTTTTTTTTTTTTTTTTCAAGTTTTTAAACATTTTTGTTTTTTGATTTTTTATTTGGTCAAAGGCCTTTTGAAAAAATGGACGGATCAACCGGTAATCTGCCACTAATTCCTCCCCTATGTATAGGGTTATGTCAATGAAACCGGCCGCAGCCTCCTTCCCAATTCGAAAGGCCTCTGTATTTTATTCTGAGTCATGTCCTTATCTTCCTTCAATTGTAATCCTAGTGTAGAAGGGAAAAAAGAAGATGGAGTTTCAAGTTCGTGTGTTTTCAGTTGGTCAAATTTACCGGATGATTTAAAAGTTGAGATCTTGTCTCGAATCCCGGATAAACCTCTTATCAGGCTCAAGTGTGTGTGCAAATCTTTGTACTTTCTGATTTCAAATGCATGTGCTCCTAGATTCTCCTCCCCTTCTCCATCCGCCGTTTTTTACGGCTTAATCTACAGCCGAGTGGGTGAAAATTCTCTTACATTAGCTCCTGATTCTAAGTATGGAGTCGTTTCTAATAATTTGTGGCGGAATTTGACGGCATTGATTGAAAGCTTTAGAGCCGAACACAAGGCGGAGCACATTCTAGACTGTTGCAAGAGGGCTTTTTCTTCTAGCATCCAGATCTTCCAATCCGACTCAATATTTCGTGTGCAACCCCACCACCTCTGAATGCATCAGAATTCCTGTTAACCCCTTACATGGTGATTTCAAGTACTCCTCGCTAGCTTTTGATCCTACCGTTACGCTTCACCATAAAATTATTAGGTTTGCCAGAGTCACTCAAATATTGAATCTGGATGTTTATTCATCTGAGACTGGCGGTTGGGCTTGCCATACTATCGATTTTGAGCCCGTTCTTGACCTTGGCCGCTGGGTTCAAAGTTCTGTTTACTTGAATGGGGTTTTATACAGGTTGTCAATGGCCAAGTACTTGGTGTGTATCAATCTCGGATTAAAAGAACATACAAAAACAAATGTGAAATTGAAAGCTCAGGCTTTTGAGCTGCCTCAAAAGGATGAATTCGATCAATGTGGATCTATTGGGACATCCAAAGGGGCTTTGCTTTACTTCATCAAAGATAATTATAGGATACTAATCTGGACGTTTGATGACAGTTGTTGTTGGGTGCTCAAGCACATCACCAACTTTCATGGTTCCGTTTGGCACCGACCGCTGCATAATATTTTAAAATTTTATCCTGACTTCAGGAAGTTCAAATTTTATGCTTTTCATCCGAATGAGGATCAAATTTTTCTGGGCCTTCTTTGTGTCATACTATTTTATAATCACAATACCAAGGATTTTTATTTCCTTTATCTGTTGAGCTGTTGTGATGTTGGGATTTCCAAAGAGTACTATGTACTCCCTTGCTCGCGCAGTGGAGTTGTTCTGAATAGTGTCATCAAGAGCCATTAGAGATCAACAAATTCATGCTGTAAGTTGTCCTACCTGCCTTTCATTGACTTATTTATATTGCTTATTTTTCTGTGAAGATAATAACTTTCTATTGGTGCTTGTTGGTGTGTTTCGTATTTGAGAGTTTAGATAATGAAAGAGATCATTGTTACCTTCCAAGAAATGATAACGTGAATCACATGATATTGTGTCTAGACAATTTCAAATGATGAATGATGTGGACTGTTATCTGTAACCAAAGAATGTAATAAGCAACTAATTTGCATATAGACAGTGTAAGCATGAACGATGTGGTCTATGTGAGAACTGACTGAATGATTGATCCAAGTAAGAACATATTGATGCAGGTTTATATTTTATTGCACTGTAAGTTGAAATCAAGGGTTGGAACAAGCTGTTATTGGGAACTGAATTTGATTTAGTCTTTGGATGATGTCTCAGTATTATGATGGTTTTGTTAACGTAAAAAAACTGAAATGATTTTAACTGCTTTTTGGGTTTTTTGGCTACGAAAGAATGCTATAAAATTCAGAGGGATGGGAATGGACTTAGAGTCTGGGAGTGACGAGATTGTATATTAGACTTTTGGATAAGTTGACTGAGAAAATATTCTTGTTTTACTTGTCGATCCTTGAAAATAACTGGTTTTAGATAAAATTAATATGGGGATAAGTTTAATGTCCCAGTTACGTGTGGTGAAGGTTAACTTTTGTGAATGACTTTTTTCCTCCATATTATTTATTTATTTGTTCGGAAGATGTTGTATATTCGGCCATTTTCATTGTTTGCCGTGTCTGATTTCTCATAGTCCCTATATGCCTTTACACTGTCCATAATGCTATTCTCTATGCTAGTTTGGACAATTGACAATAGTAATATGTTCCTTATGTTTTCTATTTACAGATTTTGATTGCTGACGACTGACCATAGACATTGTTCCCATACTTTTTTGAGTTAATAGTTTGTGGTATTAATACAAGTAATTTTTTCCTCTGCAGCTTAACCTGTTGGGGACATTAAGCATGGGGCTTTTGATGGTGAAATGCAATCTGACACATTCGTTCTTGCCTACTATGAATCTGCGGGCTTTACTAATTTGTTGCAAACTCATTTTTAGCGTTGATTTCATGTTATTTTCTAGTGACGAGTTGAAATTGCTCCACTGTGCATACGGGTTTATGTGCACCTTATAAATTTATCCAATGTTTCAACCATCATTTTGGTTACTCTTAGCATAACTCTATTATTACGTGCCTTCTTTTTTTAATCAGCTATTGTGATTAACGTTCCTTTTTCTCTTACTCTTGAAATTTAGGGAGGGTGAAATTGCAGTGCATGTCTTCAGCCTTTCAATTATGCAGTTTTTGATGGATGGATAAATTGGATACACTCTTAATTTCAATAAAATCTACTATGAAATAGAAAGTTCAAGTTTGTATGCAAAAGGATGCATATGTGATTACAAAGAGTAATACTGAATATTAGTGTTACTTATTCATTGTCTGATGAAGTTGGATATATTTAGATTTTCATATTTTTGGATCATGAGCCTTTAGTTGACTGGTAAGAAGCAAATTTGAAAAGTTAGTGATATTTAATTAGCTAGGACAACTTAATGATCCTACCTCTCTCTCATTCTCCTAATATGTTCTACCAAGATAGCAGTATTCTGGGGATTAAATGCATTGCAAGTCAGCTAACTTCCAAGAGTTGCATCAGGGTCCACTCATTCTCATTGTTGTGAAATCAAGCCACTCAACTTCAATTTGCTTGGGTTGATCAGAATTCAACCCACTGAAAGTTTAGCGACCTACAATGCATTTAATCTAAATTGTGTTTACACTAAAGAGAGTTAAATTATCCTCTCTTGGATAACCCCAAAAATAGGGTGATTGCGTCTTAATCATATTTTTGTCACGTAGATTTTTCAATAAAATATTCGTTAGGGAAGGATTCATTATATTATTTCGTTTATGAAAATTATATTTTGATTTTCCAAATCTAATGTTGTGTAAATGTTAAGATTATAAATAAAAAAAATTAAAGAAAATGTATTAAAATAACGGATTTGATCTCCTAATGCTTAGTGTGCCACCTAAGCACGATGCTTAGCATAAACTAAACACGGTGTTTAGGAGATCGTTACTAGATAAAACAATATCCTACATATATATGAGTCTAACCATGGCTAGATATGTGTCGCGATTTCCTATTGTCACCCTAATTTTTTTTCATCTTCACCCAACATCACCTCATCTCCATTTTCACACACTATTTTCCTTGCACATATGTTCACGAAATAATTCTTTCGATTTAAAACTACCGTAAGTGTACGGATCGTAACAAGTAATAAAGTGGATTTTTAAAAGTCTGATTATCGTCCCACAGAGATTGAGTAGTTCAATTCTATATAATCTAGCCTTAACCAAATTTAATTGAGTAAAAATATGGTAAATGCAAAAAGCCCTAATTTCAATTAAAAACCCTAATTTCTCAATTAGAAATCCTAATCTCGAAATTTCTCTAATTAAACGACTCAAACACTTTAGTAAATGATATTATGCAAATTCAAAAACTAATTTATGAAAATGAATCAAAATAAAGTTCGTAGAATCACGAATCCCCAATTGAAGCTATAAGAACCTTAATTTCATAAAATCAATGACCCGATGGAAATTTGTCAATTCAATGTTCCTAAATCTATCCAACATATTCTCTCGATATATATTAGACCTATTCTTGCATACCACCAGCCTATATCTCTATGAATGATGCAAATATACAAGAATGCATGTGGTTTTGTGAACAATTAGAGAATTGCATAAAGCATAGGGGTATATCTCTAGCCCCTATCGGACCCTATGTTGATTTACACCTTATCGAACCTATTCCACTTCTCTCAAATGTAATAAATAAGTCATCAATACTCACACAATCATTGGCCACTAATTGCGAAAGAAAATCAATGTATATAAACCAATCAAATTATCCAAACGAGTCTTTATATTAAATTCATGAAATATGGAATTAAAATAACAAACAATGGTTCATCGATCACCTAGTGAATTGAAAACCTAGCCTAGAATATTCATAATTACAGATTAAAAAACGAAATTAATAAATTGAAAGAATAGCACCCGTATGAAAATTTCTTGAAATCTTGAATAAAACCTTGAAAACCCGCTTGAATTCTTATGGAATCAGCTTCAAGATCGTGTTTCTTGCCTCCAAAAGTTGTAATTTTCTTCTCCCTGGACGTTCTACCCTATTTCTGATGAATTTTGGCTTTTATATCATGTCCTCACGGAGCCCGAAAGAGTTTCAATTAAAAACGAAAGTTCAGATTTTTTTTTTTGTTTTTATAACCATGCAGCCGCATGGTGTTAAACCATGCGACCGCATGGTTCAAGTTAAATGGCTCTATGAAATCCTATCATCCTTCTGTGCGGCCACATGGCACAGTTCTGTGCGGCCGCATGGTTGTAACTTTCAACCTTCCTCTTTTGGTCCTGAACTTCGTTTTCTCTATTCATGATCTCTTTTCTTTCTTTTCTTTGTTCCATCATCAAATATTGACTCCTAATTGACATTTGGGTCAATCAATTCCTTGATCACTTGCTCGGCTCATCTTTTGATTAATTGCAATTTAGTCCTTCATCTTTCACTTTTCTTCAATTCAGTCCAATATTACTTCTTTCTTCCTCCGATCGTCTTGTATCGTCCTCAATCTCATACTTGGAATATTTTCATTCTCGTTCTGCACTTTAGCTCAACTTTCCAATATTTGCACCTTTGGTCCCCAAACTATCGCTTTGTTCCGTTTTGGTCATTTTTCGGCTCTTTTCTTCTGAATTTCATCTTTTCCATAGAAACACCTACATTGCATGAATTTAACGAGATTAAGTCACAATTCAACTACTTTGTCAATGTTTAAGTCATGTTTGTGAGCTAAATAAGTGTGTAAAAGCACACTTATCAACACACAATCATCCTCTTATCCATTTTCACATTTAAACTCATAAACTATCCATCCCACTCTTTGATCTTCAGGTGTTCACACTCTTCTTAGTTGATGCTATTCCCCTACCCATCACCGTCCTCTCACACAGAAGAACCAACTATGGTGACGGAGCATCTGCTGTGGAAGTGATTAGGGCGGGAATGTTCATTCTTGTTTCTTCTCAACTAGACACATCATTCACTCAACTAGTCCCACGGCCTTTGAAAATGGTGCTCTCATCTGCCTCTACCGATAAAAAATTAAACCATAACTCAGTATGATAAAAGATAAACTGGTACTTACTATACTTGATGAAAAATGTCATAAGGCCTATTATCTCCTAGGAAAGACACAGTTGGAATTAGCATGAAATCATATTTAAACATCAATGCAGAAAATCAGGGAAAAATATAATATCACATAAGAACTCTGTTCATTAGTAAGTAAACAACCATTCACATACAAGATGATTTTGACTCAACCTTGATAAAGAGGGAGTCCTGTAGAATAAGATGCTTGACCTTCATAGTAACGTCAAGCCGACGCAGGGCAGCTGCTACGTGATTATTTCTTGATTCTTGGTTTAGAAGTAGATTGATATTATTTCTTGATTCTTGGTTTAGTAGTAGATTGATCAATGATACAAATTGTCCAATGTTAATATTGTTTATGTACAGTTTCGTTCACAAGAATTCAAATACCCTTGTGGACTTTGTTTATAATGCATCGTTTTTTTCACTCTCTAAGGGACATCTTGATGTGATTCAAAGTGGAGTTAATGGCATCAAGAAGCCGAAACCTCACCGTCACAACTCCTCCAAAGGTTTCGTTTTCATTTAGCTGATTTCCTGTATATGCGTGGATTTATGAAACATTTCCCTTATTTTTATGTAAATTTCTAAATAGATGGACCCGAGGTTTTTGCATGAATGCTCATGTTTATTTATTTAATTTTACAAGTTGGTTATTTGAATTGTGTAATTTTGTGAAAATTGATTGAAGCGACGCTGAAAAATGGTGAAGTCGTATCCAAATGTGAATGAGGAGTACTAAAAGGCTATTGAGAAATGCCAGAAGAAGAAGCTCAGAGGTTTAATTGCCGAGAAGAATTGCGCTCCTATCATGCTACGTATTGCATATGTTCCCCCAACCCTCCTATTTAAAATTTCAATTTTTCATTTAAATTGGAATTCACTTTTAGTATTCTGTGAATATGGACTTTTTGCTAATATTGATCCTCTGTTAGTGAAATATTTCTTAATTATTTGTTACGTTTTGAATGATATTATTGCATACGCATTGTAATAACACGAAGATCTCCCTGAATTATTTTGAACATAATGAAAGAAATCGTAGCATGCTTGAATAAATTTGGTTCAAGTATTCCAATATTTGTGTGATTAAATCACTTTGCTACTTATGTCCCGAATTCCCCGATGACAGTTGAAAAGTATTATTATCTACAATATAAATGCCTTATATTGGAGCGTCTTTCTAGTTTTGTTGCATTTTTACATACAAATTTCACTATATTTTCTTGCCATCTTTTTCCTTCTCTTGTCCGACAACATGATTAGAGGTTATGTGGGAAGTAAAGGGAGGTTATGGGGATTGTAGATTTAAATTCCAAGTTCAAACCACTCCTCCAACCCTTTTGATGTCTTGCAGGCCGGGTTACACCACATGGGTTACCCATGACCCATATTTTCCAACCGTTTTGAACAACTAAATAAATATTGGTGTAAAATAGAGCTTCAACTTTTGTTGGTTTTGGTCTGAAGATATCAAAGTTATTCAAGAAGTTGAACTGTCGTGGAGATTATAAGATCTCTCCTATGTGCCCTTCGCAGAGAGTTTAGATTTTTGTACTCTTACAACCATGCTGTACTTAGCGTTTAGAAAGAGACATTTAAAATGTCATTGGCCTGATTTTGTTGGCAGACCCTTAAAATGAACCGTAAGCAAAATACTTGTATGTACTTCCTGATTCAAATCCAAAAGATTTCCAAATCTTAGATAAATGGGATGTGGCTCTCAGTAAATTCCTATTTGTACAAATACGTCAATGAACCAAACTCATTTTGAAATGATGTAGTGCTGTTCTATTTTGTTGTCTGGTAGTATATTCAGCACATTGTATATGAGTGATTTTGATGATATGATAGAAGTCATGTTCGATTGTATTGGAATGTGGTGTGCTGTGACTCTAGGTGGCATTCTACTAATACCTTTGATGTGCAAAGCAAGACTGGAGGTCCTTTTGGGACCATGAGGTTCAAGGCAGCTCTTAGAACTCATCAAGGAGCAATTCCCTACTATTTCTTATGCTGACTTCCATCAAGTATTTTTGCCTTTCTATTCATTAATGCGTGAAATTTGAACATGTTTTTGAATTATTTATTAGATAATTTGAATGTTTCATGGTCCTTACTTGTACGTAGTAATTGGTGGGAGTTGTTGCTGTTGAAGTTGCTGGAGGACCAGAAATGCCTTTCCATCCAGGAAGGCAGTTAGTGAATTTGTTTTTCCTAAAAATGTGAATATGCCTAGAAAGACTCTTTAGTTGAACTCTGGCATTAATATGGAGCTAAAAGATTTATTATATGCATCCAACCCCTATATATTTTATACCTGCTCCTATAAAGAAACTTATACCTTCCATCAATTACTCGTTGATCAAAAAAATGAGTATATGTTTTATTTAATAAATGCATCTTTATTAGATTAGCACATGTTCATGATTGTGCTTCTCTAATATCAGGATAAGAAAGAGCTCCTGTTGAAGGTTGTTTGCCCGGTGCTACAAAGGGTAAACCAAATTATTGACAATTCAAGCATCCTCAGCCTTAAAAATGGCAAGTCTCATGTTAATCTTAAATTACTATTGTAGGCGGACCAAGGGATGTATTTATCAAACAAATGGGTCTGAACGACAAGGATATTGTTGCACTCTCTGGTGCCCACACCCTGGTATGTACTTGCCATTGTTCAAAAGACTCTTAAACTTTTTCTTGTAAATAGAGAACATCAAATGGTTTGAAATGTAACATTGACTGCTCCTCGAGCTAGGCCTGGGATTTATAATTTTTTCATAACAATAGCAAAACAAAATATGTATGAACCTTGGCATGTGTGTTGCACCCACTTGATGCCTTTTGATTTGCTTATATATATATAGGCTTCTTTTAGTTACTGGAAAATATATGTCAATTGCACTTCCCTGAGGCATTGCACCGACCATGTTATGATATTAATGAGAGAACCAACGCCATCTCATTTTCCGGAGGATCCTTTCAAAACTTGTTGTGTCACCTCACTATGGACTTCTCCAGCATGCCTGTTCCATATTAATATCTGGAACCCTTTTCATAAAGCTTATATCGCTGACAACGATCCAAGTTTATGACACATGCCACCTGTTTCCTTGGGTGTATTACGCTTGCATTCAGGCTATATTATTACTATAATTTAGACATGATTCTTCCTCTCATTTATGATAATTCTTCCTTCCACTCCTTGTATGTCAAATCCAACAGTGACCATATGTTGTAGATGAATTCTACTTGAGAGGATGTGTCAATATTTTCAGACTGAAGGTTGCTTTTATGATGAGATGTTTCTGTGAAACCCTTTTTATACAGCCATGCATGAAAGAGAACCAGGAAAATATGTAAATTGATATTGTCAATGCAATGGTAGAGTACACCGATCAGTAATCTCAAGCACACATGTTTCATATGTAAGACACCTTGCAAGTTATTTTACCAATTTGAACAATAGGATCAAGTTATTGAGTTATAAAATTGTTTTATCCCAATATCAAGATTTTCCCCTCGTACAATATTAATCAACATCTTCTAATAATTATGGAACCCTTCATTGCTAAATGCTATTTTCATTAGAAGTTTCTGAACATTAGTTTTTACCTGTTATTGTAGGATAAGTGTATGCCTGACAACATATGGAACATTAAGTTCATCAATGTTTTTCTTCTTGTCCATTGAGCCTTCAAACGTTGCTTTTGAGACCCTATAGGTAATGTTGAATTATCTATGACCCATCTATCATGTTTATGGAAATTCCATATGGAGATCAAAGTTTCCAGCAAATGGTTGACAAACTATTATCTCTTGGCCCTTATGGTTCATGGATTTCAGTTGCCCTCATCATTCTTAGAAGATAGTGCAAATTGCCGATTTTCAAAATATATCCCCTGCAAGTGCTTTTGAAAATTTTGCTTCCAAGTGCTATTTCTATTTTAAGTGTTCTTATTTTGTCTTGATTGAGTATTCATGCTTTATGATTCTATTATGAGATCCGTAAAGAAGATTTTTGGTACGTGGGTTCCATAATATGTTTAATGATGATTTTCTTCATTCAGTTTGTTGCTTCTTTGCCCAAAAAATAAAAATAAAAGAAAATAAAAGAATCCCCCAAACTTTCTTCAAAATGTGTGCAATATTCAACGTATGGAAGTCAATGTAACATCAATATTGCATTAATGAGAAAAACTCAAAACTATGGCTCTAACATGCACTTTTTGAAAATTAGACCCATGACTAAGTGACCATCTTCAGCCCCGAGCATCACCGAGAAATATTGAAATTTCCCCAGACAAGGTCCGGACATATGAAAGTACTCATTGTGTCTAGTATATATCCAAATTTCACTACAATCGGAGGTCGTTTGGTTAGGAAATTACGTGGACGAATTTAGTGACGTGAGTTGACATGGCTTAGCAATTATGTGTTTATGTGCACAAATATGTGAAGCAAATGTGTTCTAATGAAATTCCACGAGATTTCTCATCTATTACGCCTCACAATAACAATGTAAATCATCACATAAATGAAAAGTCCAAAATTTCAAATCATATGTCTCATTGACATTTGATCAAACACGTTGTGTGCATTGGGAATTCCTTACAATTTGTTATTGATCTACACTTAGAGCTAAACCACAAATCACAACTCAATCACATTTCAACATTCAACCAATTCGAAAAATTCATAAAATCAAAGAAATACTTCAATCTTTGCATAGAAAGTTAAATTTCTTACCTTGGGAGCTTTTGTGAGATGAAAGTGGAGAGTTATGCTTCAATATTCTTGATATCAATGCCAATGAAGAGAATAATGTGGTGCTTAGATGAAGAGTGGATGCGTGGGTGATTGATTGTGCTCGTGTGAAGGTGGATTGGGGGGGAGGGGGAATGGCGTGTTCGTGTGAGGGTGAAATGGGGAAAATGGGGTGGGATTTGCAAGTGACGGATTTAAAACCCGTCACTTATACACCATGCGGCCACATGGTGTTACACCATGCTAGTTGAGGTCCACCAATTTTGTTCCGGTAGGGGTCCATGCGACCGCATGGACAAAGCCTTTATATATATATATATAACTAAAGCAAACTTACAATTATAACCCCAAACACAACTTAAAATTTAAAAATCCACCAAAATTGGTTTTCAATTTCAAAATTGACTAGACTCGCCATATTCCGAAAATATATATATTTACTTGAAAGAGAATATGCTTATCAAAAACTTGGCACCAAAACCAATTCTTTACAAAAGTTTTTGAAAAGCATCTCGAAAAATAAAATAAAACGAACGACTTTGAACCACGAAATGCATTACTTCACACTCAAACACCCAAAACACTTTATTTAGCCCCGACTCATGCAACTATAAGCGTGTAGTGCCTAGACTATCATGCATGAATGATCGATGACCTAGTAAAACATATGAAATTTAAATAAATTGCTAAACTAATGCAATAAAATAAATTGAAGGATACAGTGGGTTGCCTCCCACTCAGCGCTAGTTTATAGTCGATAGCTCGACTTTCCTGTGTCTTCTTCACGTTGGGTTGCTGAGTTGCACAGTGGACTTCTGCTTAGGGAAATTACAGCCCCAATAATATTTTAGTCTTTGCCCATTGACGATGAAAGTGCCTTTGGTCTCGTGACTCACTTCAATAGCCCCATATTGCATCACCTTAGTTATGGTATAGGGACCCGACCACCTTGTTCTTAGCTTTCCTGGGAAGAGTTTGAGTCTAGAATTGTACAATAACACTGTCTGGCCAACTTCAAACTCTCACCTCTGAATGTGTAAATCATGTCATCTCTTGGTGCGCTCCTTGATCAACTTTAAGTTCTCGTAAGCTTCCATTCTCATCTCATCCAATTCATTAAGTTGCAGCAGTCGTTTTTCACCAGCAGCCTTGAGATCCATATTCAACTGTTTCACGGCCCAATATGCTCGGTGCTCCAACTCCAATGGTAGATGACACACTTTCCCAAAAACCAGGCGGTATGGAGACATTCCTATTGGTGTCTTAAACACTGTAAGCTAACAGTGCATTGTCCAACTTCTTAGATCAATCTTTTCGGGATGAGTTCACTGCAACTTCCAGTATTCTCTTTAATTGTCTGTTCGAAACTTCAACTTGCCCATTGGTTTGTGGATGATATGGAGTTGCTACTTTATGTTTCACCCCATATTTGTTCAACAGCTGCTCTAATTGACGATTTATGAAGTGTTTGCCTCCATCACTTATTATCGCCTTCGGTGTACCATATCTTGTAAATATGTACTTCTTCAAGAACTCTATTATCACTTTTGTGTCATTGGTGGGCAATGCAACAGCTTCCACCCACTTAGAGACATAGTCAATGACCACCAAGATATATTAATTTGAGTACAATGGGGAAAAAGGTCCCATGAAGTCCATTCTCCATACATCAAATATTTCAACCTCCAAAGATGTAGTTTAGTGGCATCTCATTTCTTCTTGAGATATTTCCGGTTCGTTGGCATCTATCACATTTCTTTACATACTCGAATGTGTCTCTGAATAAAGTAGGCCAATAGAAACCCGACTGTAGTATCTTTGTATCAGTCTTTGAAGCTCCAAAATGCCCAGCATATGCAGAAGAGTGACAATGCTCTAGAATCTTCGGTACTTCATCTTCGGGAATGCATCTTCTGATTATCTGATCTGCCCCTCTTCTGTAGAGAATGGGATCCTCCCAAAAGTAATATTTCAGCTCTGCGAAGAACTTCTTTCTTTGATGGCTAGAATACTCTGGTGGAGGAATGGACTTAGCAAGGTAGTTAATAATATCAGCGTACCATGCGACTATTTCTACTCCAAAAATTTGCTCATCTGGAAAGATTTCATTGATGTCAACTGACATCTCAGGTTCATCCCATTCCAATCTTGATAGGTGGTCGGATACCACATTTTCACTGCCCTTCTTATCCTTGATCTCAATATCAAACTCTTGCAACAACAATATCCAGCGGATTAATCTCGGCTTAGCATCCTTCTTTGTCATAAGGTACTTCAGAGCGGCATGATCCATGTAGACGATGACCTTAGACCTAACAAGATACGATCTGAACTTGTCGAATGCATAAACCACAGCTAGCAATTCCTTTTCGGTTGTCGCATAGTTGATTTGGGCATCGTTCAAAGTTCTACTTGCATAGTATATCACATGAAAGATTTTATTCTTTCTTTGTCCCAATACCGCACCAACTGCATGATCACTCGCATCGCACATTAGCTCAAAGGGCAAATCCCAATCAGGTGACACAATCACAGGCACTGTGGTTAGTTTTTGCTTCAAAGTATTGAACGCTATAAAACATGCCTCATTAAACTCAAAAGATACCTCTTTCATTAGCAAGTTGCACAGGGGCTTGGTAATTTTTGAGAAGTCCTTTATAAACCTCCTGTAAAACCCTGCATGCCCAAGGAAGCTTCGAACTCCTTTTACTGATGTAGGTGGTGGTAGTTTCTCAATAACCTAAATTTTCGCCTTATCCACCTCTATCCCCTTTGTCGATACTCTATGTCCCAAGACTATTCCCTCTTGAACCATGAAATGACATTTCTCCCAGTTTAATACTAAGTTCGTTTCTCTGCATCTTTGTAAAACCAAGTTTAAGTGATCCAAACACTCATCAAATGAGGTCCCAAAGACCAAGAAGTCATCCATAAAGATTTCAATGAATTTCTCCACCATATATGAGAAAATTGCCATCATGTATTGCTAAAATGTGGCAGGAGCGTTGCAAAGTCCAAATGGCATTCTTTGGTATGCAAAGATACCATAGGGGCATGTGAAGATGGTCTTCTCCTGATCATCCGGTGCCACTGGTATATGATTATAACCTGAATACCCATCCAAAAAATAGTAGTGGGAATGGCCTGCCAATCTCTCCAACATCTGATCTATAAACGGAAGAGGGAAGTGATCTTTCCTTGTAGCGGTATTTAGTTTGCGGTAATCAATGCAACTCTCCGCCCTGTTACCGTCCTTGTCGGAATCAACTCATTCTTTTCATTCTGAACCACTGTAATTCCTCCTTTCTTGGGCACAACTTGCACTAGACTAGTCCATTTACTATCTGATATTGGGTAGATTATTCCAGCATCCAGAAGTTTAATCACCTAAGCTCTTACCACCTCCTTCATGTTTGGGTTTAGCCTCCTTTGACTTTCAACTGTTGGTCAAAAATTCTCCTCCATGAGAATTTTATACATACATAAGGAAGGGCTGATCCCTTTGATATCTGCTATGATCCACCCAATTGCTTGCTTGTTATCTCTAAGCACCCTAAGCAGTTTTTCCTCCTCCACTTCACTAATCATGTTTGAAATTATCACTGGAAGTGTATTAGACTCCCCCAAATATGCATATCTTAGGTGTGGGGACAACTGCTTAAGTTCCAACTTTGGTGGCTTCAGAATAGATGGCTGTGATTTCTCAGGCCCTGTCCCAAGGTGCTCAAAGTATCGTTTTCGCGTGTAGGATGGGTTGGACTCCAAAAATCTTGCACACATTTCTATGACCACAGAATCAAATTTTGTGGATTGAGAATGTGCAATGCAGGCTTCCAATGCATCTGATGGATTTTGCAGTGTAAACGACTCTTCAATCATTTTATCGATCATGTCAACCCTGAAACATCTGTCAGTCTCTATTGGCAGTTTCATAGCCTTGAAGACATTGAATGAAACCTATTCTTCTCCCAATCTCAGTATCAACTGCCCATTCTGAGCATCGATCAAAGCTCTGCCTATGGCCAAGAATGGTCTGTCCAATATTAAAGGAACATCTTTATCTTCTTCCATATCCAGGATCAGAAAATCTGCTGGGAATATGAACTTCTCCACTTTAACCAATACGTCTTCAATTATTCTTCGTGGATGTGTCAATGATCTGTCAGCCAGCTGTAAGGTCACCGTGGTAGCTTTAGCTTCTCCCAATCCTAATTTCCTGAAAACAGACAATGGCATTAAGTTAATACTTGCACCAAGATCACATAAAGCTTTATCAAAATAAATTTCACCAATGGTACAAGGGACAGTGAAACTCCCTGGATCTTTAAATTTTGGAGGGAGCTTTCTCTGAATCCTGGCACTGCACTCCTCTGTTAGCATAACTGTCTCGTGATCTCCTAACTTCCTTTTGTTTGATAGGATGTCTTTAAGGAATTTTGCATAGCTAGGCATCTGAACCAGTGCTTTAGCGAATGGGATGTTGATATGGAGCTTCTTGAAGACTTCGAGAAACTTCTTGTATTGGTGTTCCATCTTTTGCTTCTTCAGCCTCTGTGGAAACGGTATGGGTGGCTCATATGGGTTCACAGTTACAGTCTCTTTATCCCTTGAGTTTCCTTTATTTGCTCTCGGTGTTGGCTCTTTTGTCTACTCTTCTTGCTCCAAAATCTCTTCTACTTCAGGAGACATCTCTTCTCTGTTTGCCTCGGGATTATTCACCTGTCTCTCAGGTAATTCCATTCCACTTCTCGTTGTTATAGCCTTTGCATGCTCTTTCGGATTGACTTCTGTGTTACTTGGCAAGCTGCCTGGTGCTCTACCTGTTAATGCAACTGTCATCTGTCCCATCTGAGTTTCCAAATTTTTGATGGCTGCATTCTGGTCCTGAAGAGTGGCTTCTATCTTCTTCATGAATTGGTTGTTCGCCTCCATATATTAGTTGGTCTGTTCTATGAATTTGCCGAACATTTCTTCCAATTGAGGCTTCTTCTCTTACTGTTGATATTGCCCCTGCGACCTATTCTGATTTTGGTTGCTCCAAGAAAAGTTGGGGTGCTTTTTCCAGCTTGGGTTGAAGGTCTCTCCATACGTGTTATTCTGCTGGCGCTGTCCCCATTGAGCAAAATCTGCTTGCTCTTTTCCTTGTGTCAAAATTGGACATTCTGCTGTCACATGCTCAGCTCCACATTCCTCACAATTTGCTTTCTTTGTCTGCCCTGCGTTAGCTGACTGGGTAAAGTTTTCCACCTTGTGAAATAAGGAATCAATCTTAGCGGATAATGCTGAATATACATGCACTTCATAAACTCCTGGTGTCTTCTTTGGTACTACTCGTTCCATGGTCCACATTGCTGAGGTCGTAGCCATTGTCTCATATAACTTCAATGCTTCGTCAATTGTTTTCGTGGACAATGACCCATTAGCTGAAGAGTCGACCATGCTCTTGAAAGCTAAAAGTAGCCCCGGATAGAAATATTGGACCTGAAGTCCCTTGCTAATCCCGTGGTGTGGACACTTCCTTAGTAGATTTTTGAATCTATTCCAAGCCTCATCAAAATTCTCAGATTCACCTTGCCTGAAGATAGATATGTCGTGCTTTAGCTTTGCTGTCTTGGCCGGTGGGAAGAACTTAGTACAGAACTTCTGAGCTAGGTCATTCCAGGTAGTAATGCTGGTTATCGACTGAGAATCAAGCCATTCAATCGCCTTGTCCAGCAAAGTTTGTGGAAACAATCTTAATCTTATGGCGTCGTCAGAGATTCCTTGATATCTGAAGTGCTGGCACATCTCTAAGAAACGTGAGACATGCGTGTGCGAATTCTCTTCAATTCTTCCATAAAATTGATGTCCGTTCTGGAACAGTTGTATCACATTTGTCTTCAACTGGAAATTTGGCTGCCCGAACGGTGGATATACTATGCTGGACTGGCTTTGAATGATTTGAGGGGTCATGAACTCTCCAATGAGCATGTTTCTTTCATCTTCTTCCCCTCTTTTATTGGCTTGTATAACAGGATTGTGTTGTACATTCTCCATCTGATTTCTCACTGCTCTGTTTTCTCTCTGCCTTCTTCTTAAGCTTCGTTCGATCTCTGGATTGGCTAGGAGTAAATTTCTTTCAGCAGATCTTAGCATGCACTTCTGCAAGAGAATTCAATTTAAACACTTAAATAACTAAAATATGCACTTATGTAATAAAACTAAATAAGCAATAAAATAAAATTAAAAATAAAAAGTTTGAATTAGTGCTAAATTGAATAAAATTAAATGAATACTCAATCTCCGGCAACGGCGCCAAAAACTCGTTCATGAAATAATTCTTTCGATTTAAAACTACCGCAAGTGTACGGATCGTAACAAGTAATAAAGTGAATTTTTAAAAGTCCGAATATCGTCTCACAAAGATTGAGTAGTTCAATTCTATATAATCTAGCCTTAACCGAATCTAATTGAGTAAAAATATGGTCAAAATGCAAAAAACCCTAATTTCAATTAAAAACCCTAATTTCTTAATTAGAAACCCTAATCTCGAAATTTCTCTAATTAAACGACTCAAACACTCAAGTAAATGATATTATGCAAATTCAAAAGTTCATTTATGGAAATGAATTAAAATAAAGTCACTAGGATCATGAATCCCCAATTGAAGCTATAAAAACCCTAATTTCATAAAATCAATGACCCGATGGAAATTTGTCAATTCAATGTTCCTAAATCTATCCAACATATTTTCTCGATATATATTAGACCTATTCTTGCACACCACCAGCCCATATCTCTATGGATGATGTAAATATACAAGAATGCATGTGGTTTTGTGAACAATTAGAGAATTGCAGAAAGCATAGGGGTATATCTCTATCCCCTATTTGACCCTATATTGATATCTGACCCTATATTGATTTACACCCTATCGAACCTATTCCACTTCTCTCGAATGTAAGAAATAAGTCATCAATACTCACACAATCATTGGCCACTAATTGCGGAAGAAAATCAATGCATATAAACCAATCAAATTATCCAAACGAGTCTTTATATTAAATTCATGAAATATGGAATTAAAATAACAAACAATGGTTCATCGATCACCTAGTGAATTGAAAACCTAGCCTAGAATATTCATAATTACAGAATAAAAAATGAAATTAATAAATTGAAAGAATAGCACCCGTATGAAAATTTCTTGAAATCTTGAATAAAGCCTTGAAAACCCGCTTGAATTCTTATGGAATCAGCTTCAAGATCGTGTTTCTTGCCTCCAAAAGTTGTAATTTTCTTCTCCCTGGACGTTCTACCCTATTTTTGATGAATTTTGGCTTTTATATCATGTCCTCACGGAGCCCCAAAAGCGTTTCAATTAAAAATGCAAGTTCAGATTTTTTTTTTGGTTTTTATAACCATATGGCCGCATGGTGTTAAACCATGCGACCACATGGTTCAAGTCAAATGGCTCTATGAAATCCTTGCATCCTTCTGTGTGTCTGCATGGCATAGTTTTGTGCGGCCGCATGATTGTAACTTTCAACCTTGCTATTTTGGTCCCTGAACTTCGTTTTCTCTATTCATGATCTCTTTTCTTTCTTTCCTTTGTTCCATCATCAAATATTGACTCCTATTTGACGTTTGACTCAATCAATTCCTTGATCACTTGCTCGGCTCATCTTTTGATTAATTGCAATTTAGTCCTTCATCTTTCACTTTTCTTCAATTCAATCCAATATTACTTCTTTCTTCCTCCGATCGTCTTGTATCAACCTCAATCTCATACTTGGCATATTTTCATTCTCATTCTGCACTTTAGCTCAACTTTCCAATATTTACACTTTTGGTCCCCGAACTATCGCTTTGTTCCGTTTAGGTCCTTTTTCGGCTCTTTTCTTCTGAATTTCATCTTTTCCATAGAAACACCTACATTGCATAAATTTAATGAGATTAAGTCACAATTCAACTACTTTGTCCATGTTTAAGTCATGTTTGTGAGCTAAATAAGTGTGTAAAAACACATATCAACACACAATCATCGTCTTATCCATTTTCACATTCAAACTCAAAAACTATCCATCCCACTCTTTGATCTTCAGGTGTTCACACTCTTCTTAGTTGATACTACTCCCCCATCCATCACCGTCCTCTCACACAAAAGAACCAAATATGGTGACAGAGCATCTGCTGTGGAAGTGATTAGGGCGGGAAGGTTCATTCTTGTTTCTTCTCAGCTAGACACATCATTGACTCAACTAGTCCTACGGCCTTTGAAAATGGTGCTCTCATCTGCCTCTATGGGTAAAAAATTGAACCATAACTCAGTATGATAAAAGATAAACTGTACTTACTATACTTGATGAAAAATGTCATAAGGCCTATTATCTCCTAGGAAAGACACAGTTGGAATTAGCATGAAATCATATTTAAACATCAATGCAGAAAATCAGGGAAAAATATAATATCACATAAGAACTCTATTCATTAGTAAGTAAACAACCATTCACATACAAGATGATTTTGACTCAACCTTGATAAAGAGAGAGTCCTGTAGAATAAGATGCTTGACCTTCATAGTAACGTCAAGCCGACGCAGGGCAGCTGCTACGTGATGATTTCTTGATTCTTGGTTTAGAAGTAGATTGAACAATGATACAAATTGTCCAATGTTAATACTGTTTATGTACAGTTTCGTTCACAAGAATTCAAATACCCTTGTGGACTTTGTTTATAATGCATCATTTTTTTCACTCTCTAAGGGACATCTTGATGTGATTCAAAGTGGAGTTAACGGCATTAAGAAGCCGAAACTTCACCGTCACAACTCCGCCAAAGGGTTCATTTTCATTTAGCCGATTTCTTATATATACTTGGATTTATGAAAAATTTCCCTT